GCGGACACACGCGTTTCAATCAGACATCCGTGGAAGGGCCATATCAACCTCGTGAAACAAATAGCAATGGCGGATACTCTCGATGTTTGAGCGTTGTTTGATAGCCCTGCACTAACGCTATAAGGTGTGCTTGTTCCCACTCTCTGTGCTAGATTACACACAAATAATCTGTGGATGCTGCTGTATATTCTCGCATGGCCATTTCACGTAATTTTTACGCAAATGCCGCTGTGCAATTTCAAAAATTCTTCCTTATCAACGCAAATCCGTCGCCAGATTCTGATTAAATGTAAAGAGAAGTGATACACTGCCAGCCAGCCGACGTCATTTTACTTGGGCGGACGCTCTACGGTGGTACCGAAAGTGAGCTGTTCGTGAATCCACTATAGTTCTTGTTTATAAAAAGCGATGCTGGTAGTGTCACCATTTTGCACCTGCATTCCGCACCTGCCGATAAACCTGCCGTGACTAGGACGTATGCTTAAGAATTTTGCGGTGGCCACCGGCGATGTCAAAATTCACGCGGTGACACTAAGCGTGAAAATACGGGAGCGTTGCGACAGCATAATTTCAACCGAGCGCGGAGAGCGCGACTGTGCTCATTTTATGGAGCCGATGCGGTGCCGTAGGACGACACCCACCCATCGGGCCCAGTCGCCAGCTCTATTTTTTAAGTAGGTTGTTATGGGGCCGTCAGTATATTACGTCACGTATGAAGGGGAGAGGGGGTTAATAGAGCGTAACCGAAGTGCAACAAAAAAGAGGGAGGAAGGCAGCGTGCTGCCACGCTCTAGTTTGGCTGCAAAGCATGCTAAGGTCTTTAAATAAGACGTTTAAAGCTTTACAACCAGACATCGTTGGCTGTCTCTCATGACAGGCATCACGTCCGGCTTTGTTTCGCACATCTAGCTCAATTGGGAGCCGAACAGCTGCTGCCCTGTTAACGTTACGCTCAATACAGGGTAACCAGGGAGAGAAGAGTTTTGTTGCCCAGTTTAACCAATGTGCAACCATGGAGGAGAAAGGGTGAACAAATTGCCAAAATTGCGCAGCGTCAATCATGGACGGCTCATATAACACTCACTTGGCATTTTTAAAACGCGCATGTTCGTTTAGCCCTCACAAGAACAGACCGCAAATTTATCGCCGCTTTTCACCCGCATTCGGCAGCTATCAACAAATCCACGATGGCACGAGCACATTTCGAGGAGCTTTTTGGCGGCCAGCAATACCATCACAATCCACATGGAAACATTATAGGTAAATTTAAGGCAGCGTTTCAAACATGCGCTTGATCGATCGTGGAAAGTGCGACGTTCGGGTTTGATAGCGCTGGTGCAGAGCTATCGAACGACACCCAAATAACGGCCGCCGGCACCGGCACCTTTTCGCCCAGTAGGTCCATGATGCTCGCGCGGTGTCTCATTGGCAGGCTTACATGGAATCCCTATGCGTGGTGGCCCGGTTATGAATATTTCATAACGCTGAGGTAGGATCACGAATGAGGTTTCCATTTGCTTCTGACGTTGTTGGAGGCCACCATATGTTATGTTTTTTTTTATACGGCCTTCTCACCGTTTGTTTTCGGCATGTGCTGAATGCAGGTACAAAGTGGCGTCACGCTGCAAGCGTTTTTTTCTTAAAGCACCTAGCCTGCCTTCCCATGACATGGCTTCAGAGGGGAAAAGGGCCAATCGACCCACTGAACAAAATGACACCGGAGCCGAGCACGATGTTTGGGTGTCATGCCATAAGCCTGAATTGGTGACAGCACGCGGGCAAAGCCCCATCCTCCTCGCTCGGATGCAATTCATTTCGAAACGAAATGCTTCCTTACGTACCTGAATGCGGACAAATACTTGGACGTTTGGAAATTTACACTTGTCCGTTTTCGGCTTGTTTATTTTGAATGAAAAATGCATCATTGGTATGTCAAATATAAATATCCACCTTAAAATCATCAAGCTGCCCCTCACTGCAGCCATGCACACCTAACCATATTGCTAATTTTGCTAAAAGAAAAACTAGACGCACTATTTTGACCACAATAGGAAATTGCTATGCCAAGAAACGCCGGCACTAATTTTCAATCACGCTTGCTTATTGTGGTGCAACAGGAGATATTCCACGCTGCCTACTTTCTGGCACAGGAGATATTCCACGCTGCCGACTTTCTGGCACAGGGGATATTCCACGCTGCCTACTTTCTGGCACAGGAGATATTTCTGGCTGCCTACTTTCTGGCACAAACACGCCTGTTTTGATCGATAGCGCTGGTTGGAGCCTCCTCGTCCATCAGCAGTGGCAATGTTGTACAGCAAAGAGTAAAGGCAGAGTAGCGTATCTACATACTACCACAAAATATAGCGGAACGAATGCTTGGAACTCGTTCCGTCTGCTATTCAATTACTTTGGGTTAGGTATCGCAACAGCACAATTTTACGGCAAGCAGCACTATTTACACGAAGCTTGGCTCCGGTCGACTTGGACGGCCTCATGAAATCTTCGCATTTTGGGAGCGAGTCTTTGGCGATGATGTCGGCCAACCGAGTCTACGTTATGAATGGGAGCCTAAGTTGCAAAGTTTGAACGGGGTTGGAATGCTTGGCATAACGTGTTTTTGTCGGAATAGGGAATTATAAGCTCTCATGCAGTGTATGACGAAGCATTCAGTCACAGGCTTTCCTGAACAAATATCTCCCCCTGGCGTGGATAAAACCAAATGGGCCGCTGTTTGATACAATGGTTGTGTTCGTATGGCTCAGCGAAGTTCTTTATGAACAATTGTTGGGAAGAGGCTTAATTTCAATGATATTTTGTAAGCCATTGAACATTGCAAATTCTTGAGGAACGATGCAAGAAAACTTGTTTTGCAGCCGGGGTCGTGCGGCATACACCTAATCTAATGAGGCATATTTACAATTAAAGGTAGACCTAATGAGCGTCAGCCTCGTGGAAATTCATTTGTAATGATATTTTTGGTGATAAATTTCGCCGAATTTGATTTTAATCGAGCTAGCCTAAGTTTTGTTTCGGGCTGATACTTCATGAATCAGTCATAGGCAAGATATAATTACCTGGACCAAACGCTAATTTCGCAAACTACATATCACTGCTTTGAAACTCGCTTCAATCCTAATGAAGAGCAAGTTCCCACAATTAATCCCTGATTGATTCGACTCAGCCGAACCTGGGTCATATGCCTAATGATAAACTTTAATGTCACCTAGCAACAAGCTTCCCATTGCGTTTCACTCGGAGGAAAGGGGGTTTTCATCGTCAGCTCTATGCGCGACAAAAGCACTGCTGACACCAGCGGCTCATCCGAAGTCATGCACATTCGACGTGGGCTCCAACAGTGGATCTTGACAACCTGGTGAAACGAAAGGAACCCCAGATAACTATACAGAAATTAACGATGATCGTAACAGAAAATTTCCTCATTGAACTAGTCTGTGACAGGCAATGGCTGTGACAGCCTGTGACAGGCGGCAGCTGCCATCGGACCGTCACCTGCCGTTACCCGTAGCAACGAGCGAGCTGTCATCCCCTGCCAGGTGTCGGCTGGTGTCACTTCAGCATGTGCTGCTAGACCAGAACATCAGACGTGCTGGGTTTCTTCAGCCCGCTTTTACAGACGAACGCCGCCGTCACTGGAAGCGCCATCTCGCTCAGCTGGGGAGGCCGCTGACCTGCGCTGGACTGCTGGACCCGGGCCGGGCCGATGACGTCGGCACCGGTGGCGTATTCAGCTTTAGCGCCACGGCCGATCCGGGTGGCTCGCTTTGCTATTCAACAAACGTGCGCGGACAACAGCCGGCATCCCGCGCAGCGCGGTGCCGCTCCCGCGACAGGACTCCCAGCTGGCTTGATAACTACTGACAGCGTTTTTTAACTTGCGTGCCTTTACCGTGAATGCGACTCTCAGAAGGTCAAGCTGGACATTTGGAAGTGGGCTGGAGTCATTCACCAATTCCGTGATGTGGGATGGAGTCATTCACCAATCCCGTGATAGTCCACGTTAGAGATGCCGCAGATTTGTCCAAGCGTGACAAAATCGCCGGAGTACACGCCAGCACGGCGTGTAGGCGTAAGCTGACTATGTGGGGGTTGATTTGGTTGTTAGTTTCAGTCAGTTTTACGAACATTGACTCTAAACATCACATAAGTCCACACCAACTTTGCATCTTGTCAGCAACATTTGCGTCTCCAGACGCCTCTGATATCGATTTACAGCTTCATTCGTATGTCTTTGCTTTGTTCTCGTTGGAAATTCCCTTGTGGCTGTCGCTACGTCAATAGGTGTATATTTCTCATGTTTTTGAAGCGTACAACCTTCTAGGAAAGACAGCATGTGCACGATGAAGTGTTTCGTCTGAGAATGCGGAGGTCATCGCGACAAGGCATGCTTAGCAGTGACTTCGATTTCAACGCAATCTCGGTGGAGTATATCCCAGCGCTTTATTCAAATACGAAAAGCATTTATCAGTCAAAGTTGCATTCATTACGTTCATTTATATTTTGAGTACTATCATTTTTGATGAGTAAAACAGTTTCCGACGTATTTCTATATTTTAGCACATCATAACATTGATTCGGTAAACATGCGTTTATAACCGTGCAACTGAATATTTCTGCTGGGTAACACGCTGCCTCCGTCGAAGGACACTGGCCTGGTGACCCCCGGCGCGGGGACGGTGACGAGCCAGCCCACACGGTCGGGGTCACGTGGTCGTCGCCTCTCCGGCCGGGCGGCCGCTCTCGAGCCGTCCCTCCCGCCGCCGGGCGTCCCGGCCGCTCCCCGTGTCCGCTTCTCTCTCCCACCGGTGCGAAATGAGCTGGCGTCAATGAACGATGAATGAAGAGCAGCGCGGGCTGGCCGCGGGCGCGCCGTAGCCTGGGGCGCCGCGGCCGCCGCCGTGACCTGGCGCCGCTCCTCACCCGCCGGCGCGGGGTCGGCGAGGGGCCGGCCCGGGCCGGCCGCCGTCGGCCCCCGGACGGGCGGCGCGCAGCACCGCACCGTCCGACGGCGGCCGCCTGCCCCGCTCCCCTCGCCGCCCCCGTCTCTCCCGCCGCCTCCGCCCTACAGGTCCAGCGCGCGCCGCTCAGCATCGAAACGGCGGTCGCGGAACCGTTTGCGGGCGCGGTCCATGATGGCGCGCAGGTCGTCGTAGGCGGGGCTGTGCGGCAGGCCGCACGTGTCGATCGGGTCGGCGAAGAACGGGTCGGTGAACGGGTCGCGGAACGGGTCACGGTCGAACGGGCTGTTCGGCTCGGCCCAGCGCGGCAGGCTGCGCGCGCGCGGCCGAGGCACCACCGGCAGCCGCCGAGGCCCCAGGTCACCGTGATCCCCTGCGGGCCAGCCAGAACGCAGGTCAGACACGGCCGGCGCCGGCGACGACACAAGGTGTGACTGTATAGCGGGGAGCTAGCGCGGCGGTACTCTCAGCGATGATTCAATGCGCGTTGAAAATGTGTTGCATTTTCTGGCATAGGAATGTAAACGTAATAAAACACCATTTTCTTTCGATTTCTGGGGCGTATGGCTTGCATTGAGGATGAAACACATGCAAAAAGGGTTTTGGCTTGCACCCTGAGCCCACCACGTAGGCTGTGCTATTTCAATACCACTGTGTGGTCGACTTTAAATATCGATTTCAAAAATTGCAAGTTAGGATCTTAAAAGTAAGCAAAGCAAACGCTGTCTGGCAAGTATTGTCGAAGTGTCACATGACCAGCATGGCCTGTGAGCTAGTGGTGCAGGCTTCCGCTCCCTAAGCTCAGCGGCGGAACATATCATTTGTGGGGCATCAGCAAGTGTGGGTTGAGGAGTGCGTTTTGTCGTGGAGGTGTTTTGTTCGGCTGATGAACACTGGCTATAAAAACGACAGTGTTCATCTATCTGCAATGTAAAGAAGCATGTCACTGAATGTATTTATACAAATAACAACCCTCTTAAAATTGATATTTTGAGTGAAACACCGTCTATAAATGCCTAGAAGCTGCGCCTTTCGGCTCTTCCGAACAGTATGGAGGCGGGATCTTGTTGGTGTTATGTAGTGTTTTAACATGGTCACTCTTGGCCAGGCTGGATGCACCTTAATACTGTTCATGCTTACATTAACAAACGGCACAAAAAGGACATCATGACATTCTTAAATTATTCGTCAAACAAATTGTTCTTTGGTGTGAACGCGGAAATTGGAAGTTAAGAATATGTCATCCGATATCGTAAAAAATTGTGCAACATCGGTGTAAATAGCATGTTCTAACAAGGCGCAAAGTGAACACCCTCTTCATGTGTTGCTGGTAAGAACATTCCTGCTGCCGCTGAAAGAAAACGAGACGTCAAGATGTGCCAATCCAGTAAGCACGCGATATATTCTACACAAAACATCTTAACCTTATTAAAAAGTCATGCGGTGTTAGCATGCTGAATTAATCAAGCACAAGGCTGCAAAAACAATCACTACAGGCAGAAACATTCTGATGTCAACAAAGCACTATTTTTCTGACTGTAACAAGTGATGTGACAACGAACCGACGACGAGTCCCATTGGCTCGCTGACTAGGCTCTGAGGACTTCTCGGTCGCGGTGTCGCACGCCGCGGTCCCAGCTGCCCTCGCACGTCCCCACTGGGCAGACCCGGTGACCCCATTGGTTCGGCGCGGCGCAGAATGTTGACGCGAGCCAGCCGGCGGCCGTAGCGTCGTCTTGCCAGCCGGCTGCCAGCCGCCGCCCAGATGAATTAACCTGGTGACCTCCGGCTGAGAGGCGGGCGCGCTGCCAAGGGGAGCCAGCGCCACCCTGAGGCGGTTGCTGGACCGCCGGTGCTGACGCCGCTGGCGCAGCACCAGCCGGCGCTGGGATCAGCTGTGTAGCGTATGGCACCATCGTCAGTGGTAGGGTATGTTCCTATGGTTTGTGATACGTGGTGCGTGCCACATGCATGATATATATTTAGCCGACAAATCCAAGCCGCGTTGAAGATCTGTTTCTCTTAATGCCAGGCAGCAAGTTTTGAGGAATCTGTCTATTCGGGTACACCTGGTTTTGTTATAATTGCGACGCAGCTGAAACAGAGCACCCCCGCCAGTTAACTCTTTTCTTTGATGATTTGAAAATATTGCGGGCAGTGGCTGTTGATCGCTGAGTGGAAAAACCAACGCAATTCCTTTCAGGCTTTGCTCAAAAAGCTTTTAACAAAGGTGGCAAGCCACATATCTATTCTAGTGAAAATCATAGTAATTACTATTTTCCAGTGGTGTGCAATGCTTCTCCCTCTTGCATAAAAGAAAAAAAATATTTAGCTTTCCACCTTGCGAGTAAAAAAAATGTGTAAGTCGAAGTTCAGGCCTACGAACTCAAGATCTTCGACATCTCGTTTCAAGATCTTGAACTTCTCAGAACGTGAAGCGTTTTGAGTTCATTCTCTCGGGTTCATTCATTCATTCAGAATACAACGCATTCATTCTTGCAAAGCATGCTGTGAACGCTAACCTCTAATCAATTCGTCACTTCTAAGGATAATGCGTCTTCTCAGGTGAATTCTTACTAAGGCACAATACGGGGTGCTACGACTCTAACTTCCGCTAACAGGGACTTCCATGTACATGTTCTATGCAGCCGGTGTCCCTACCGATGGGCCACATTGCTTCATCGCGCGCTACCGACGTATGCACCATTGGCTGAGCTACCGTACTACCAGCTCGCTGCGCGCCCTGCCATCTGTCGGCGTGCTTCGGTGACAGCCTTACGTGGCGCGGCCGGCTGGCCGGCCCGCCTGCCGCCTAGATGGTGTACTGCGGCACAGCCGGCGCCATCTTCAGCTGGTAGACGGGCCGCGTCTCCTTGACGGCCACCAGCGTCTGCCGCACCTCGACGCTCCGCTTGCCGGTGGACACCTCGGAGCTGTAGCGCTTGGCCACGTGGATGGCGTCGCTAGAGATGGGAGGCGTGGTGCCGCGGAAGGCCCGTTCCTCGGCTGTCGGGGCGACCCGTGTCAGGCGGACCTCGGTCACGGCCGACCCTCGGTCACAGCCGACCCTCGATCCTCAGGACCTAACCCTCAGCGGTCAGGACCGACCCTCAGCGGTCAGGACCAGCCCCGGCGTTCTGGACCGATCCCCGGTGGTCAGGATCGACCCCCGGGGGCCAGGGCGGACCCCAGGCGGTCATGACCGACCCCCGGCGGTCAGGACCGACCTCGGCGGTCAGGACCGACCTCTGGTGGTGAGGACCGACCCCGGCAGCCAGGACCGACGTTCAGCTGTCAGGACCGACCCCCGGCGGCCAGGACCGACGCTCAGCTGTCAGGACCGACCCCCGGTGGCCAGGACCGACCCCCGGAGGTCAGGACCGACCCCCGGAGGTCAGGACCGGCCCCCGGTGGCCAGGACCGACCCCCGGAGGTCAGGACCGACCCCCGGAGGTCAGGACCGACCCCCGGCGGCCCGGACCGGCAGCCTGACCGGATACCGGCGGGATGACGGCGGGAGCGCCGGTGACCAGCCCCTGGCGACAGCGTCCGACATTCCGCGCCGTTTTAGGCGGCGTCGGTCCGACTGCGGCGGGCGGCGCTGCCAGCGGAGCCGGCGCCAAAGCCGCGCCGACCGCCGACACCGCTCGCCGGCGCGCATCGCTTGGCCGTTACTCAGCCGCCGGCCGGGCGGGGCGGGAGGGAGGGCAGGTGGGGGCGCGGCGCTGTCTGACCCACCGCTCGGAGGGCGGTCGGCCTTCAATTGGTTATCGGTGCGCTGTCGGAAGAAGACAGACCGTCCGTATCGGTGTCAGACGTGGAGCCTGGCAGAGGACAGGTCAGCAGGATTCGGGACACGTCACGTGTTGTGAACGACGCGGTAGCCGATCAACTCAGGGGTAGTGTCGCACAATCCGCGGTGGGAAAAATTAATTCCTCACAACCAGTTACTTTCTGCAACCGAAGAGAGCTCTACCGTAATTCCGCGATCTGATAGCAGATATATGGGGTCATCACTGAGATCCCAAGAAAGCAGATCAGCCCCTTGCTGCCCTTCAGGCTGTGAACGCCGTGGTTGCACAAACAATCCACATTTCCACCACTATTCCAGTGTCCCTCTTTAGTCTTCTCCTGGACCCAGCAGGGAGCCCTACACCGTCCAGTGCCCCGGAAAGATTTGGCAGCCTTGGTGGTTAGTCGCGACCAGTTGGTCCATCTGGCAGCGTTTCCAGACGATTGTAGCCAACTGTCAGGACGCAGGCCAGAACTATTCCAGTAGGGCGACATCGACGCAGGTGGTGTCCGAAAAAAATGGGAACTGAACACGCCTTTGTGTAGACGGATGCTCTCCAATCAACGAGCTTAACTTTTACGACTCCCAGTTGTCCGACTCTGCCCAAATGGATAGCTATATGATTGCTCTTTTCTGTGTCTGGGTCTCCAGCATTCGAAAGCATTATGTTTCAAGTACCATCGGAGTATTATGAGACCCCGACCACCGCCATGTTTGAAAATCAGACATTGAGCTGCTGCAATGTGCCGTGCAATGACAACTAATTTTATTTTTATTCCGGTAGTTTTGAAGCTGCCTTGGCTCTCACTTTGCCTTGGGTGACGACAACCAGACGACATTCCCCCGCTTTGATGTGCATATAATTGCTTTGCCACCAGGTAGCTTTAGGCTTGATAGGAGCCAACTGACGCAAACGCGCTAAAGGAGCGGATTTTTAGGGCTCGATCAGGGTGCCACTGGTGTCTCAGAGCACGAGAAGTGGCTCGATCAGGGTGCCACTGGTGTTTCAGAGCACGAGTAGTGGCTCGATCACGGTGCCACTGGTGTTTCAGAGCACGAGTAGTGGCTCGATCAGGGTGCCACTGGTGTCTCAGATCACGAGCAGTGGCTCGATCAGGGTGCCACTGGTGTCTCAGATCACGAGTAGTGGCTCGATCAGGGTGCCACTGGTGTTTCAGAGCACGAGTAGTATAGCGCTGCAAAACCGAGCCTCAGCTCATATTGTCAACTGAGGTCAGATTAGTGCAAGTTCAAACGGACAGAGCACGGCTTCAGCAAAAAAAAAGTTGCGCGACGAAGCAGCGAACACCAAAATGACATAAATTACAAGGCATAAAGCAAATGAAGCAAAATTATTACGAATCCACTGAAGCGGCACCATGTTATGCACAATACAAAAAGCGGAAAAAGTTATTGCACAGAACACACTGATGGAACATGACAGAGACTCGAAAATTTTGGCTGGCCGCCGACTTCTAACGTGTCTCTCCGGGAGGCAAATGATACATTGCTCGCTGTAAGATCACTCGTTGCGGCCGGCGCGCGCCGCCAGCGCGACGCAGCCTTACCCTTGAGTCCCTTCATGTAGTCGAGCCAGAAGCCGGCATTGCGCTCGAGGGGCCGACCGATAGTGTAAAGGTCAAGGTCGCGCTTCCAGTGCACCATTGTGAGCAGCTGTCTGGAAAGCACGCACATGATTAGTGAGGGCATTGGCGTGCCGTATGATTTTCTGTTCCATGTTTTTTCATTGAAATCGGCATGCTAGGACTAAGGAAGTGTTGACAGTGAAAATCGTGAGAAGGATTAGCGAGTATCTACCCTGAAAGTGAACCGAAATTCGGCTAACATGAAAGAGTGTGTAATGGCCCGAGCCCAAGACGTTTTGGGCACATGCAAGCAAAAAACTGAATATGGCATTTTCAACCAATTGTGGGTGCTATGGAAAGGAATGGCATTATGTGCCGCCCCTTCCCCGTGGGGAAAGGCATTAGAAGCTATAAATGTATCATGGCTTTATCTCTAAATTTCTGGCCCTTCATTACGACAGCTTAAACTATTCGCTGCTTTACTAGGGCCAGTTTGCGCACAACCCAGACGATCTTAAATTTCAAGCCGTCCGATCACTCTTCGGCTGCTCAGAGACAGCTGAGGGTTAGGTAGTCAAACGAGCACGTGTCATTCTTGTACGACAAGTGCTATTCTAGTGTTACACGCCGCGACCGATCACTAAATTCTTGGCGCCAAGCGCGCGACGTGTCCCAGTTCCCCGTCACTGTCATCGTGATTTAGACGCCTGACCTACTATGGTGTGCCGCAATACTGTGAGCCCGGCGGCACAGCCTACCCTAACGTGCGCTGTGTGGGTTCAGTTGCTCTTGACAGCTTCCGAACAATGCAGCATAATCAAACCATATTTTGTACAGCTGTAGGCAATTGAAAACCCCATTTTTGTGAGTTAACATTCTAGTCGTATTTCACATACTTGCTAACCTGTAGTTCGACAAAGCCAGCTGAGGATTGTAAGAGAAGATATTTCTTAGGGAATCTTACAAACTGAGGCCGCAGCAAAATAGCATATTTATAATAGCATATTTACAATAGCAAATACATATAATAGAATTATAACAGCATAATAGCATAGCATATTAAATAATGCATTTTTGGCATGGTTTCTCGGGCAACGAGGGAATTCAAAGCAAGCTAATAGCTTGTCCCTTGAGCTCGGTGTAGGCATAAAGGTCAGACGAAGGTCGAAGGCAAGCAGCTTTTTACTGGGAAACTTGCTTTAGATGGTACGTTTTAACGCTCTTTTCTGATTCCTTGTCACAACGACGTTACCAGATTTGATATTTGAGCTTCATAAAGATCAGCGGAATTTGCTGACCTACAATTTCATCAATCAGCCTTTTGCTTTGAGCTACATACCGGCTAGGGTGCCTATTGACGCTGGCTATTTGTTCAGGCTAGAAATATAAAAGTTTCTTGGCCATTTTGACATTTTTAAGGCAAGATAATGCCAATCGAATTAATATGGACACGATTGGCTTTTCGTTTCCAAAAGACATCCAAGTTAAAGATGGTCGCGTGAGCAGGCATACGGACATTTCGGACGCCCATTTCTAGGTTTGCCTTGCTTAGCCTTATTTAAACCAGAGTTCATAGCCTGGCAATTGGAAATTTGACAAGCGTAATTTCGCATAGTCCTGTTACTTGTGTTAGTTTGGTGCCTCTCGATCTCTTAGTTGTTTGTGTCTCAGTGGAAGGGGACGTCAAATTTAGCCCCACCCTCGTCCGAGCGTGGCGCACTCCACCGACCAGCCAGGCGCTGGTTTACCCTCACCGTGATAGAGGGTGAAGGGTGATACGCCCCCCTCAGGTTTTCTGAGGACACCTCCCCGGCGTGTCGTGTACTTGCGCCTAGCCTCTGGGACATCCATTGCACTGGCTTTGACACCAGAAATGTACCCATAGCGTTTTTTAAGGAGGTCCTAAGTAGCGACATTTTTTGAGGAGTACTGAACGGCGACCCCGGCCGGAAAGAAAGGGAAGACCGCGGGCCCTGCGGACCGCGTGCGATGCTCATTTGCACTGTGACATTAACGGAGCCCTTCACCATACCTGTACACTAAAAAACATAAACCGCATACTGTTGTGCTCGAAAAGGGACAAAGAACTGCAGGGATTAGCAGCAACCTGGAAACGGCAGGGAGTTGCATCGACCTCCCCCCCCCCCCCATCCTATTAGTCTATGTAATGAAAAACGGCGAATCAGGGCGAGGGTTAAAGCGCTGTCGGGTTATATAAGCCTCGCGATTGAGCCCCTCCTACTGACGGGCTCAATTCCACCGTTCCGTCGGATCGCTCCGACCAAAGGTACGATAACGACAGCGCGATCCAATTCGGATTAAGGTCCGTCCTACCAGGGAGGTTACGTCAACAGAAAGCCTGAGATCGATCTGGTGCTTCGAAACAGTAGGCCGCTGGAGCTGCAACAGGAGCGAGGCTCGCTGCACACGCGGGGGCCGTGCCGGGCCGTTGAGGGGTGTTTACACCTGGGCCCAGTGTATTTGGAACAGGCAGCCAGCGATCAGCTCACTAACGTCGTGACTTTGACTCTTATCCGATCACTTATTCGAAGCGAGAAGGAGTTTGGACTCATTACCGCATCGGTCGGCTAGACTTCAGTGCCAGTGGAAAAAATATGACAACAGAATATCGCTAAAGTGACTGCTGCATTGCGAAGAAAGACGCCTGTGTAACTAAGCAAAATTTTATGAGACCAGATAAACTTAAATGAGGGTTTAGATGATGAAGCTCAGTATCAAGCGAAAGTAAATCCTGCGTGTCCTTTTCCTCATCAGGATACCAAGACAGACTCTCAAAAGACGTTCAAGCACGCAATGATGATATGCCGGGCACGTGATCTCGTAATCTAGGGCTTTGGCCGTTTCAGGATGATCGAATGTGACAGTCTACTTTAGACATTTGGAAAGCAAAGCTTAATTGATCATCGATTAAGTTGCAATTGCTTGGTAATGACCACAGCTCTGTCATCGCGAAGACTTATCCGAGCACTGAAAGGGAGACAAAATCAAACACTGTCAGCTTTCCGAAAACACTAGAAAAATAAACTCCATCATAAACGTTGTGCAATCAATCGGTTTCGTGGCTAGCGTCTGAATTGTCTCCCACACTATGAATGGCACGTCTCGGCAGGCCTGATCTCGTCCAGAGTGTTTAAGAGCAAATTTCACGCAGTTTTCCAGGTTTAGCATGATGTGGGCTTGACCTTGGTGATCTCGTGACAAAATTACAGACATTGGTTATGTGCATGAAGTAGCATCACTGCGCCTCCAGAACAACCTGATGAGGTACAGTTCGCAGGGGGCGAAGGGTGCGTCGCTGAGCGCCCTGTTCTCCCATCATTGCCGGACGTAACTACGAAAACGGGATCAAAACAGGGCGTAGATAGGATGCAAACACGGCTCGGCTTAAGTTTGTCACCATACGCTGCATGGCTCAGGGAGCACCTCAGAAAAACAGGACGATTGTTTCAAAATCCTGCACTGTTAAGGGTAAGAACGTAATTATTGGTAACGGGTCAAGAGTTTTGTTTTATAGTGAAAGTTGGCCACGAGCTACAGTCAGCCAAAGCACACCAACATGTTGTGTATCGGATCAAACTTATCAAGGGGTGTTGCCTTATGTTATCGGTAGATGAATATAACATAAATGGACGTGTGAGCAACGGCTAGTGCAGCCGCGCTGTTCCTCAAGGAATGAAAGCTTGTTATCAAGTTCCGATAAAAATATGAATGTACGCTTAGGCCTTGTCACATTCACAAAATGATCATTTTACAAAACGTTGGAGCAAACCAGGCGCATCGCGTGCACTTGATTCAATATGATAATAATACGACGTCTCCATGGCCTCAGATATCAGCATTTCAAGCGAGGCAAGCCCACGCCTCAGTAACCTGGCGCCCGAGCACCGAGGCGTCCACACCCGTCCGCTCCGGCCTGGCGGGAACGAGGTCGCGCCACCGTCGCCACTGACCTGGTCTGGTCTCACTGAGGGCAGGGCAGCGGCCACCGGCACGGACCAGAGGGGACTGGGAGCGGCTGGGAGCTGCCGCCGGCCTACAGGCCCGCCCAAAATACCGCCGACCCCCCCCCCCCCCCCCCCCCCAGCCGCCGACGGGGGTCTGAGTCAGCCGTCGCGGTTCGCGGCGGCCCCCACGCAGCACTCCGGTCGGGGCGGGGTGGAGCCAGCGGGTGGTCAGGTCCACAGGGCGGGGTGGAGCCAGCGGGAGGTCAGGTCCACAGGGCGGGGTGGAGCCTGCGGGAGGTCAGGTCCACAGGACGGAGTGGAGCCAGCGGGAGGTCAGGTTCACGGGGCGGGGTGGGGCCAGCGGGAGGTCAGGTCCGCAGGGCGGGGTGGAGCCAGCGGGAAGTCAGGTCCACAGGGCGGGGTGGAGCCAGCGGGAGGTCGGGTCCACAGGGCGGGGTGGAGCCAGCGGGAGGTCGGGTCCACAGGGCGGGGGCGGAGACCGGCCAGTGTTGGCTCTGACGTATATATTGTGAAATTTCGCGGGTCAAGTGAAAGGCCGACGTCATATAGATACGCATTTTGTTTCCCGACAAAGCCAAAATAGGGCGCCGTGAGGTGAAAAGAAGAAACATCTTGCCGCGGCACTGTGATGTCAGACCGTGGCGTAGCGGGAAAAGCAAGTGGGATCCCTGGCAGGTCACGTGAACTGTCATTTCTGTTTCGGATTAGTTGTAGGCATCGCTTTCTTGTAGCCAGTTAGGCCTATGGAATATTGATATCTCGCTATCTGCAACCACTTCGTCGCGACTAATGCATGTTATGTACAGAAATTCAAGACAAGACAGCGAATAACACGAACAGCGGTGTTTGTTCTACGGATCGCCAAAAAGTGTGTCGACTCGCTCGTTTGCAGGGACTCCAGTGTTCACGCCCTCTAGTTTTTTTTTGCATAGTATCGAAGTTAGAAGATTCCATAACGTAAACGTTGTTGTATCCACCAAAAGAGAATGGTGCGTCGAATTATATGAGGTGCAGCCACATTTACTGATCACTTTTTAGTGGTAGCAGTAGCTGAGCGCGTTCACCTTTGCGCATATGTTCACGTTCGTCCTGGGCTGCCAGCTTAAAGGTTATCATTCACACGTGCAAAAAGGTGTTCATGTCTCTAATGTTGATATCCTCGATTGTCAGGGCCATGCTGGCACATGATTGTGATAGGTGGCCTGGTCTGACCTTAAACGGCTGCTGTGACCCACGGTTATTGTGACCTACGGCTGCGGTGACTTATGGCTGCTGTGACCCGGCATTGAAAAGACCTTCACTCACGTGTTATTATGTAAAGATGTCGCAGCTCTGACTCCGCGGGGAATAAATGTAGTGATGGCGAGATGTGGTGAGGAGGGCGAGAGGCATGTTTGGTACCGTCTTCCGAACATTGCATTCTGAAAGTCAGTCCAGGGCACAAATCGAGCTCATCGCGGATTTAATTATAAGATCCTGTCTAGTTCAGTTCATCAATCTTAAGTTCATTCCGACAGCGAAGCTGCATTTAAAAACAAAAAAAAAACACTTCAGATTCAGTCCATGGAACCGAAACATAGCTCTCAGAAAAACCTACTTAAATCCATCCTGTTCCAAGGTAATCTTAAATTTATGACGATCAACGCATGGCACCTGTGGAATGCACCTTTTTTTTTGTTCAAGCAATTGTCCAAGCCTTTGTTCAAATTTTCTATAGTAACATAAATGATAGTACCTACAGTTTTGTTTATTTTAGCTTTTCAATAAAAGCGAAATCAGTGCCTGAGGTCAGATCAATGTTTGTTATTTTTGTGAATAATGCAAGCTTTATGCGAAACTATTGCGTAGTTTTTAGGGTGCTGTATATGAGGTAAAGAGTACTAACTCACACACACAACCATGATATAACTACAGAGCATATGGCTTTGGCCACAGGTGTGTGACCTACCTCTATGGATACCTTCCGTAAAACACATGCTGAGCTCAAAATAGGCAGTTTTCTTTGGCAATTTTGGGACGGCAAAATCGAATACTCCACTTAAAACATACTCTCATATCATTGCAGTGCATATGAGGTCACAATAGCGTCATATGAGAATATGCAAGGATTTATGAGGTCGTCCAAGGTTAATGACCTATGTTATTAGTAGCGGAGAGGCCAGATGAACGAAAAGACGCGTGTCACCACCTCCTTATTGTGATTGTGAAGTCGATGACGTATAACTTCATTTGCTAACATGCATGTTCCCATTTTGTTATAAAACCTTGACAGACTATGGACTATGCATAATGTCAACAACTGCCATGTGATCTTAAGTACCTGTAGATGTACAATACACTATTTCTGACGACTAAAAATCAAATCATTGTGTTGGTCACATAGACCCGGTTAACACTTCAATTGTTTCATTTGGATGATTTCTAAATTTGACCCAAGCTGACCTCAGATGACGTCTGGGTCAGCCTAAAAGGCATTTTGGTACCTGGAATGCCTTTCTCCACAGCTGGTCCTAATAAGATAAGCTTAGTCATATGCACATTGTGAAAGAAGCATCGTTATTTTGGGCACTACCCGTTCTGTCGATCTTACTGGTAGACCACTTTTGAACGGTGACGTGATCTGACCTGACCCTTGTGGGAAACAAAAATGGTCGCAGTGTTCTCACAGCCTGAACGCTTATTTCGGTGCCCTCAATATCCGCATCTAACGTGTTAACATAGGTTTCAATCGCATCTGTCGGAACACCCGTTTTTTACTTTTTGTTACCTTTAACGACTTCATATCTGACCTAAGGTCAAATATTTTGTGCGCATGCTTCATGATTAACAAGACCTTCAGAATGGTATCTGTTCTTCCCATACAGTCGTTTGGAAGTTCGAGATACTCGGGAAGTTAACTCCAACGGCCGGGTGCGGTTATCTCAGACCCCTCCCCCCCCCCCGCCGGGCGCAGGTTAACTTTCTATTGCGCTCCCATCCCATTCGGAAATACCGAATTTGAGATCAAATCAAAATACTTAATATTTCATTAGAAAATGGACCCACGCTGTTTAGAGCCATCCATGGACTCGCCACAAAGTGATGCCTTTGTCGAACCAATTCAGAGCAGCAGAGGACATAGACGGCACAAACATAACTTGAAACGCGAGGTAATCACGCCATTGTCTCGGAACTGTTCAATTACTGTGCACGAGATGTTATAAACATGCTATGTACCACATACTCCTGCCACTGATGCCATAGTTGACACATGTGAGCTATGCTGTGGCAAACACGTACCGCAGAACGCGGGCTGTCGTGGCAGAACACACAGATACTGCGTCATACTTCATAGCATGAAAGCAACCAATGACAAGTTTGTACTCAACAAATCTGAACAAATCAATGCAAATTACAAGTTCGAAACATTGAATAAACACTATGTCCTCCGTTTCTTAGCCACAAAATTGAGATTCCTCCGTTCGCAGTAAGCTTATGACGGAGGTAACGGAATGATCATGATGCTTTCTCAGGTAACACAAATATTGAATGAGCAAATTACGCTGACCTAAGGTCAGGTATAAACATTCCCGAAGATCATGCTCTATGCTATGGTCATTGTTTGTACTTGTCTGTATGAACCAGCCTGCTAAGATGGCGCAGTATTTGATTAACTTAGTTCTATTTGCGTGTTTGGCACTGGATTAATTCCCCTTGGAAATAAGTCATGCGCTTGAGGCAAGGAAAGGAGTTAAACAAAAGAAACAAACCAGCTTGAGCTAGATTGCTGCTCTGCTTTTGAATTCGTTTTTTGTAGCTCGACTACTTGAAGAACATGTTTTTGAGCAAAACTGGCGCAACCTGTTTGCTTCTTTAGCGCCGTCGGGAGCAGACGAGCCCGTCACTGGAAGGAGGTGTGGAGGGGGAAAAGAGAAGCGTAGCTGCGCTCTTCGTTGCTATGTTAGGCTAAACTCGATACAGACGTGTTCCTCCTGTGACTTATACTTTTCACTAATTCATTGCATTTCGGTTTAATTTCGCAGACACAAAGATGTCAAAGTCAAGTGAGGAAACCATAGCACTCTAACCGCATGTCAATCGACTGTGCTCCGAGCCCGTGGTGAAGTATTACAGTGTATGTTGGCGTAGTTCCACCAAGTGGTCTGGAGTGCCTTGCGCCTCATCGCAACAACAAAAGCCGTGGAGTTGCCTCCCTTGCCAAAATGCACGATTTGAAAAGAGTGGTCCTGGAAGACAGTTATTCTGCACCTGTGCCCTTTTTTAATTGTGCGCCTTTGTCATCTTACGTACTGAATTGAGTTATCTTCATCTTTACATTTTTAAGCAAGTTAAGTAATTTCAACAGTCGCTGTGCGCAGCTTGGAGTAGCGGCAGAACATGTGAGTTTTAACAAGAAATGAATGGTGCTAAGAATTGAATAAAGAACACCAAGTTAG